GCCCGGGAGAGCAGCCCCGCCGGGGAACGGGCGCTGCCCCTCGGCTGCTGGTTTGAAAAGCTGCTCTAGGGCGTGACTGTGACACCGTGGCCCCTCCAGCCACGAACGCTCGGACGCCGGGCGGATTCCGGGGGGTTGCTGGGCTTTCCTTCTCCCCCAGAGCTTGACTCTGTTTTCTGCTACTCAGAAAACAGCGGTGTCATACAGCAATAACCTTACCTGTTAGAACTGCTTACCCTTGGAAGATATTGGACTTAAAATTGCATCTTTATTCTCACCTGATTACAGATATAAGAATCACTAAGGAGAAATTAAACGTATATCTAGCCATTTCAGAGAATTCTGAGACTGAGATTGGATTTATGCTAGGAAAGACACCAAACCTTCGCACAAAGCATCCCTAAACAGCACAAGAATAAAGGATCTTGAATAAATCCCTGCATTATAATCAGTCCACATATTTTATTCCCATAAACTACCACACTGTGTTTAAAATATTTTTTATTTTACAGATTCCCTTAGAGACTCTACCTGAGACACCACCAAACAATTCCACACAAAACATTGGCACGAATTGGAATTGACTGTTCTCTGGTGGAGAAGCGCAAAATGTATTCTGTATATTTCCATAAAGATCAAGTATAGCTTCATACCTGCTGTTCTTTTTGCTCAACTAATCTCATTAAAAAGCAACATAAGAAAAATTCTAGTCAGTCTGATCATAATGGTCCTGCTGCCAAACTCAGTTAAATCAGCCTCTTTCAAAAGCAGAACTGCTCAGGCCATTGTAAGCAGTGTAGTCCTTTGTTTTCTTTGCAGCTCTCTCATCAACCAATTCTATGTTGTATTAATGATGTTAAGTGTTTTCTGAATAGACAGGACCATGCTTCATCTGTGCAGAGGACATCTCTGTGTTTTAGACACCCCAAGATTTGTCGTCTTTTTATTTGGAGTGTGCAGATGGTCTCTGATTCACATGGTAGCGGGTCACTTGCCTGACTGGGTCCCCAAATCTTTGAATTAGGAAACTATCCAATAAGAGAAGATCAATGAATTACTGTTTGCACAGAAATTGGTAGATTTTTCTTCTCTCCTAATCAAGAGTCTGTGAAGAAGCATTCAATAATCTGGATTGTTTCCTTCCCACACTGTTGGGAATTACAGGGAAGACTGAATAATCACTGTTTTTCCTAAAATCTGACTGCATTCTTCTTGAAAGCTGGTTTTTACAATTCCTGCATTTGTTTTTTGCATGTAGTTTGTAAATCCTGCTGCTGCAGCAACACCATAACTAAAAAGAAGAGGTTGTTTCTTTGTTTTAAGAGGACCGTAGTATCTGTCCAACTACCCTGACAACTGAGTGTCTTATATGGACCCCAAGTATCTGTTTGGAGATGGATCTGAAAATGAGAGAAATCAAAGCAGTAAAGGAAGCAGTAATGCTTGTATAGAAGGACAGAGGGCAAGGAATATGCTAAGAAGCTAATGATGATAATCCTATTTAGCAAGCCAAACAGAGAGGGAAAGCCCGTGATTGAAATTACTGAAGAGAGGAGAGGAGATTTTGGTTCATAGATGTATATAAGAATTTCTACAAAGGAAAGCTATTCTCTAGCACTGGGATAGAGAACCCACTTATCTGTGCTTTTAGGACCAGTAAATAAAAAGGAATTAAATTCTGATTATATTGAACACTGGCCTATTAATGAACAGTTAGTCAGTGTTTGATGTGTGTGATGAGTTCTACTTACTACTGACAGGCCAGCTGTGGAGACATGGAGGGGAAATATCATAAATGAATGCTACAAACACGTAAGCACTGTTATGAAATTTCTTTTGATTTAAATACAGTTTAAAGTTAAATAATTTCAGGCCTGCTCTTACAGGAGTTGCATCTCAATCCGAAATACCTGCCCTCTCCTTTTTTAACAGTAACCTCATACAACCCCCCCCCAACCGTATTCACATGCAGGATATTTGGCCTTAGACTTGAGAAAGTTTACTGAGCTTCAGATCTTAGTAAGTTCAGGAAAAAAAAGAATTTCAGTGTGAGAGTCTCTTTCATGACGCTAACATACATTTTAAGTGACTGGAAAACTCAAAGGAGTTTGATATATCTCAAACTTACGTGTACAATTTCTAGAGCTATGAATTGCTGTCCTTAAATTGAGTCCTGACTTATTGTCAAAATAGAAGTAATAAGAATCAACATGATGTTCTCTGAGTGTTTAGTGCAACAGTGAAAGGTGTATGAGGAATGTAATTATTTGCATTTCCATTGTCCATTATATGTATAACAGCAACCTGTGTACTTATCTGACAAATTGTCTAAATCACAAACTGCTCAGACTATGTACAGTCATGATTGTAAGAGAGAGCTGTAGACATAAGATTTTCGGCTTCTAAAGGTTCATCTTAGGTTTGACACCATTCCCCTGAATGCTTCAGCCTGTGATAAAGCCAGGATTTGCAGAGCAGCAAGCTGCCAAGAATGTTGTGGATGTATATTGCACAGTGTATAGTATTTACATTAGAGAACCATGCCTACATTTCATTCACAAGCATTCAGGATTATCAAAGCTTTATGCGTCCCGGCTTACAGAAAACTATTTCCTAATGAAGCAGCAATACCAGTTTGCAGCAGGGCCAGGCCTGTCCTGTTCAATATTTCTTATCAGTTGCATACAAAGGAAAGAAAATCAGCTTCCCACTCCACTCATAGGCTTTTGGGTGGGAGGGTGTATTTTTGTTTGTTTTGCTTTGCATGTGAAGAGGATGAGTATTCCTCTACAGACAAAATTCACTATAAACTTGTTGTTCCTAATAGGAGCTTAAACAAGCCTTGCAAAAAGAAAACTTCAGAGTCTGAGTGTGTTCAAAGATGCCACTGCCGCAATATTAATTCATGATAAAATAATATAGACTGAGTTGATCTTGGATTAGGTCCGAAGAATGAGACTGTATGTGTCCCCAGTTCGATGCCAAACTGAGGTTAATCTGTCTCTAAGAAGCAGTAGGCCAGATTCTCTCTAAGAAATCCAAACCTTTTGCTTGATCTGGTTTTGTAAAGGGTCCAGAGAGCAGTCAGATCTCGTAGGCTGCACATTCCTCAAGTCTGGAGTGGATCACACTGGGAGCAGAGCTGACACATTTGGCTCTCCTGTCAGATCCCCTGCAGCCTGGACGTGGATGGCATGACTGGATGGCATGATGAAGAAGCCACATGACTAGTGCCATACCTGCTGTCAGACAGTGTGCTGAACCATGGTATTCCCCTGCTTCGTTATTTTCTATGCTGAGGTGAACTAATATAAAAAAAAAATCCAGACCTTACACAAGCTTTCCCCATGTACTACCTCCTTTTAAAGATATATATTCATCCCAAATTTATTGATTGTTTTTTTGCAGTTCTCAGTCGATCCATAATTGGAACAAATAAATAAATGTCATATTTAGATTCCAAAACTGCATGACAAATTA